TTATTAATCTAATAATAAGCTTATATAAGCTTTTATTAAAGTAAGCTAAAGAGAAGTAAGTAACGTATTAGTTAAGTAATTTAATTAATTAAGGTTTATAATATTTTAAAGCTTATTAGCTTAAGCTTAACCCTTTAATACTTTATATTAATTATACTATTAACTTAAAAGCTTTAACTTAAGCTTAATAAATAATTAAGTGTTTATAAAAGTAATATTAATATTTATTAAATACGTAAATATAATAAAATAAGTATTAAAATAATACCTTAAATACTTAATTTTCTTAAGTAAAAGTTATAAGAAATTTAAAGTTCTCTTAAGCTTATAATTATTATACTTTAAAGAGTATTAATTATAATAATAATATATATATATAAGTTTATATTTAATTATAAAAGAGAGAATTATATATACTCTTTTTATAAGTGCGCTTATTATTAGGGTTATCTACTCGTAGTTAAGGGTTTACCCTTATTTAATTATGCGTACGTAATTGGTACCCGTAACAAGTGACCCATTTTGACAGTTGAACATGTTTCGAGCGAGGCTGAACCTTGACCACGCTCACCTCACCTATCGTCTTGGCCCAGCGACACGGTAAAAACGTTCCAGCCCGCTGGAGTGTCTCGGTGGCTACTGGCGGCTTAGAATGTCGTAGGCTGGTAGGTTGAATCAATAGCTGGGCTTGCAGTCTCTTCACAGCACTCAGATCAGCCATTGTTCCTAGAGCAACATGTGTCCCATCACCCTCTCCGGCTCGTGTCTGGTCTTTTTTTCCGACTTGCCAACTTGAATACCTACCGCTGCACCACCGAGGCGATTTCCCCAGATGCAGCGAATTTGCAATTCCGTAGTGGGACAACAAGACCTCGAGTAAACTCGCATCGAAGGCGCTAATTTTGTTATCCGACGAGAGAAGAAAAGAAGGAGACACCTTGCCCTTACCAGAGCCAATAGCTTTGATTCTGGATCTAATGCTCAGTGGGTTGCTTTCACTAATAATAAGAAGTGTCCTTTGTTACCAGTGCCTCTTTAGGAACATCGATACCAAGTACCTTGTAGGCAGTAACCTATTTTGGGGGATCATGCGAGAACTCACTCCCTACCAGTCCCGTTATATATGAAACTTCAAACCCCTATCCGCATATCACCTTTTCCCAAAGATGTACATTTGGCAAGTTGAGTTTGTGCCCACAATTAGCCGGGTTATCAAGTCAAGTTTCAACCCACAATAAGCCGCCAGACAACAGCTTGAAACACTTGAACAACTTTGTAGGGCTAGTAATGAGTCTTGACTGCCTTTGTATAAATACTGACAATGGCAAGTTTAGAAGGGGTTTGTTCTTGTGATGGCTGCTATTATCATATACTGTTGGCAAGACGAAACAAAGACTCATGGAAATCATGGATGCGACTAACACTTCAAAGACAACAGAGATAGTGACCGAAACCCCTCGCCAAGAGGAAGGCCTCAACGAAAAGTCCAACCCTGGCAGCCAGGTGAATCTGGTTTACAGCGATGCCTCCCAAGAGCCTGAGATCCATCTTCGAACCTACATTGCTGTTGTGGCCATGCTGGTTCTCAGCTACGTTCAAATTATTGCCCTTCAAGGGCCTCCGCTTGTGGCAAGTGAGACAGTCCGGGCTGTACCATGCCCAAGTGCTAAGTTTTGCTTCAGCTGGATAATATTGGACAAAGTCTCGGAAATCGCGCTTCCCAGACCTGGATTCTCACTGCGTTGTCTTTGGTTCAAGCGGTTCTTGCGCCCGTCGTCTCGTCAGCATCCGACACCTTCCAAGCCCGAAAGCTGATCCTGGTCGTGGGCTGTGTGATATCATCTATCGGGTCGGCCATTGCTCCTGGCTCACAGAGCATATATCGACTCATCGTCGCGCAGATTTTGATTGGATTTGGCTTCTCGTCCACGGCCCTTGCATACAGCATACCAAGCGAAATTTTGCCTAAGAAATGGAGACCAAGTAAGCCCTCCGGTTTGGCGACATCATGTAGAACAATAACCAACGTGGAAACAGTGGTGCTGTCTATTGTTAACATTGCAGCAGCCCTGGGGTTCTCCTCGGGGCCTCTCATCATGGGGGACTTTCTCGTCGTGATCCTATGAATGGTTGGCGTAACTACCATGTTAGCTGCCACCCCTACACGCTCTCCCTCCAACAAATGGAATGGCCGCTCCTTGGCAAGACGTATCTCCAACTCGCCGCAGTGGATGCAAATGGCCATGTGGGGGTTCACAGCAGTTTCCATTCTCATCGGCTACCGACCTAGAAAGCGATATACAGTCTACCATGAAATGCCTCTCGGTCAAAAGATCAAGGCCCTTGACTTGATCGGAGTAGGTCTCTTTGCCTCCGGCCTCACTCTATTCCTGGGCGGACTTAATCTAGGCAACGGGCAGTTTGCTTGGACGGACAGCAAGGTCCTTTCGACTCTGATTATAGGGCTTGTGACGCTGCTAGCTTTCACTGTTATTGAGTGGAGAGGAACCAAGGTTGGTATTGCACGCTACGATTTGTTTCGCAAAGGAATCAGTTCTGGTCGAACTTTTTCCATATTTATCGCCCTCATTTTCATCGAAGGCATCGTGTTCTTTTCTTTTTCCATCTTCTACGCTGTCCTTTAAATAGAGCGTTTCCACATATATGCCACCAACATATGCCAGGACAACCTCTCTATTTGAACAAGATCCCTTGCTAGTGGCCGTGCGTGCCCAACCCTTTTGGATGGCGAGCGGACTATCAACTCTTTTCTGGGGCTACTGGAGCATCAAGGCCAAGTCCATCCGAGTTCCTCTCTCGGCAGCGTTTCTCATCTTTACCGGCGGCATCGTCGGGTTCGCCACCATTCAGCCAGATGACTCGTTGGGCACCTGGTTCTTTGCTGGCGTCTCCGGCATTGGATTTGGCGGCCCTCTTATCTTGATTATTACAGGCATCCAACTTGCAACGCCACATGTGCTCATTGCAACGGCCACGGCACTGGCCGTCACGACTCGTGCTGTTTCTGTGGCGGTGTTTACAGTCATCCTTAGCATTGCCTTCACCGAACGGCTTCAGCCAAACATTGTCAGTCAGGTGTCTACGACCGCACTCAAGGCCGGGCTCCCAGCGCCGTCAGTGGTAGTTTTTGTTGCGGCTTTGGCTGCCAAGGACATGGCGGCCCTCCGGTATATTCAAGGTGTCACGCCTCAAATTATCGCCGCTGGTATTCAGGCCCTGAGATAGGCGTTTGCAGACAGCATCCGTGTTGTTTTTATCATAGCGGCTCCGTTTGGAGCCCTTGCTTGCCTTTTTTGCTGCTTCTTGGATGACCAAAGCAAAGAGATGAACTATAGAGTTGATGCGCCAATTGAGGATTTGCATGCGCGTTTTCGAGCGTCAGATGTTGTTACTGGAGCATAGTTGGAGAATCACCTATATACTAGTGAGCATCGCGATAGCCTTCGCCGGCGCGCGCTGTAATGAATCACCATTCGGCTAATGTATCGCGATGCGTGTACTCATGGTGTCTTGCGTGGTTAATTACGGTTCCCTGGCCTAGGTACGGCCAAAATACAGTGTTACTAGATGTCCTCTATCTAGCCCGTTTTTTTAATTTTTTTTTAAATAAGTTAATTAATACTAGTGAGCATTCGTGGTGATGAGAAAAAATCCTTTTTCCTAGGGCAAGGAAGACGGGTAAAACAGAGGACTAGTGTAACTTGCCGGTTTACACATAGGAGTCACAGGGCTGGGTATTGTATGGCCATCTATCTAGGCCGTTGGCTAGTTGAACTAAAACCCTACTCTAGAGCTTCGGGATCCTCGGTTCCAAAATCCAAAGTAGCTGCCATCTTTAGCCTTAACCCTTGTTGATATCAAAGATCCTTGGTTTTCCCAAGGCCCTTGGGGACAGAGGGGTCTTGTCTATATAAAGCAGCGGTGAGCCTTTAGGCCTAGAAGCCCAAGACTTCAACTAGGCCATCGAGTCCTTGTGTAACTATCGTCAACTTCGGGTCCGTGTGCCAATTGCAAAGAAAGGTTATAGAGGGACACTTGTAGTTATGGATTACTCCAGTCATATGTATCCCCAAATAACTAGTCGAAAACTCATCTTCTATTGGCTCCATCTCCCCCTCGTTTTGTCACAGTTGGCTAATACTCCAGGAGTTGCATTCTTTACTATTTAGTTGTGCTACTCTGCTTCAGCGCCGCGTTTCTCCCCTTTACCATTCAGACAGTCTTTTGTTCGTCACTGCGCTCGCCTTTTCAGCATTCCTACTTCACTAGGTAAAGGAGTGTGTACGTTCCTCTGTCTAGCCAAACAATCGCCCACCGGCCCAGAAAAGAGGCCTCGATTCCGCAAATATGCGACTCAATTGAGGCCCAATTTCCTCTCCAACGGGATCCACAACTCCGGATCGTCACACCCGGATTGTTGATGCAGTATGTTGAACAAGACGGAGTAGTAGGAACCTAGTATCAACTGGAGGTGATGCTGGTCGAATTCCGACAGCTTCTCTCTCGCCTGCTCCCGGCGCGAATCCCATTCACGAAACATTTTTTTATAGCCTATTTTAGTTACCGTGAAAATAATAGACGGGCTCGAACAAAGCTTCTTTTCAAAAGTATAGTCGCCAAGGTCTTTGTTGTCTTCAAGACAATGCTCGAAGTGGGGGGAATCGGCAGTATCTATGGAAAAGGATGCAACATGTTTCGTTGGGCTGCGAAGGAAGGTATCCAGAGGGTAGCAGATGGAGCGATAACATGAATACCGCTCTCGCGCCAAGCCTTCATCCTTGCCAGGCCTTTGTCCTACACATATCTTAACATAGGCACTCAGCATGACAGAAAAGATCTGTTGACAATTCATTAAGTCCAGGGGTATGCCGTTGGAGATGAAAATAGGGACGAGTGAGTGCAGAAACGGCAACCATAAAGTGTAGAATTCCGCGACTGGAATATTATGAGCGTCTGTAGTCATCTTGGAAACGAGTACTGCCACGAGATGATCCGTTCCGGTCTTGGTTTTCACGACGTCTGAGAAGAAAGTAGCCAGCAATTCGTGACTGATGGCTAATCGGGGTACTTGTCTGTCGGCTAGCCACTCTGGGTATCTGCCATCATCGTCACTCCTTGCGTGGTTGAAATGCATCGAATGTACGAGAGACTGTGTCTGGGGAAGATTCATAGCAATCTCCATGGGAAAGACGCCTTTGGCACCCTGCTGCAGCATCCTGTCTCGGAAAGTGTAGATGCAAATAAGCTCGACCGAAATAGCGGATCATCGAGTCGAGATTTTCACGAGCCCGTTCTGGTTCGGAGAATACGTCGTCGGCAAAACTGTAATGATTATTACAGAAACCGGGCAACGAATCGTGAGGGACGATGGCGACAGCCTAGATTTTCAAGAAATCAGCCGTCGTCATCAATGTAGACGGTCCGGGGCCATCAATTTATATACGTTTTGTCGATGCAAGGTCTCCGTGTATCCGCCACACTGTGAAAAACCTAGCCTGAATTCGGCGTGAATCAAGACAAACCTCATGCCGTTCTTTCTTCTTTTCTTTCTTCTCGACGTGGAAGAAGACATCGTCACCTTGGAGCAAGGCACCATTGGGGAACAGGCCTTTTAGCACCGTGTTGCCGTCCAAGTCCACCATAGCCTTCACCCGTCTTTGGTTTTCCTCGTCTTCAACGTCGACGAGACAACAATCACTATCGTCCTCATCATCACTCTCCAACTACTTTTCCCTGAAATAAAATGCTCTCGACTCTTTTTCTAGTTTTGCAAAGAGAATTTCGATGGGAAACTCGCGGGATAGAGCTTTCAACACCTGGACTTGATCAAGGTCTTGCATCTTGAGACCCTGTAACGAGAAATTGGCTTTGCTGTATTCATGGCCAAGAACATGGTAGGCGCAAATGCTCTTGCGCCTCTTTTCCATCCCCGAAAGCCACCTCCCGAGAGCGCCGCGAAGCTTTTCAACCGTAAGTAGCTGTATGGTCCGCAATGGCCGTGGTACGCTCGGATCGAGGCCAAGATCATGGACCAGAAGCCATAGAAGGCCTGATTCCACCTCAAACGCATTGTGAGGAGATTGCGGGGAGAAGAAGGCATAGGAATGCGGTCCCGAGGTTTCGAAAGACTCTGAGCGCTCGCGGTACTGAAGATGAACATGGCCCCCCCTGGTGTCGTGATGGCAGACAAAGGAACAGCAGACCGAACGTGCCCGGGCGCACATCTTCGAGTCTGCATCAACATGGTCAGGAGATGTGCAGCAAACCAAGACCTGAAAACATACCGTGAATGCTCTGTTACTGCTGGGCTCGCCCCGCTCTCGTAGATGTGCATCTGGGCAACCTTGGCTGTAACTCGTCTGTTGATCCCTAGCATCTGGGAAAACTCGCCACACACACTTTGAACAAAGTCGGGCCAGGCAGCATCCCCGCATTGAGGACCCTGTGAGTGATTGGGTGCAACCGGGATTCTGGCACGGTCCTTTTTGAGCCCAACTTAATCCGTCCCATGATTGAGGTACGTTGGGTTGATATTGTGTTACCCTTGGTGCCCCTATCAAGTTGCCGAGAACCTCTACGCATACAGCATCATGACCAATTGACACGCTACATTCCCAACCAAGACCAAAGTTTGAGGAATACAATAAGTTTGTGTTGGCCGGTCTGGTAACGTAAGATCCAACTCTTGTAGGGCATCATCTGCTGTGCCTACAATTCCAGATCCGTAGTCCGAGGTCGCTTTCGTCGTCATCACGCAAGCAGTCTAGGTTTTATCCAGTTCCATTTTTATCATTGACCAATAATGTTCTCAATGCTGAATTGAGTTCAAAGAATTCACCACAGTAAGCTAAGCTATCCGCGGGAACGACCTATTCATCATCGCACTATGATCCCTGTATTAAGACGGGTAATCCAGCCAACCCAAGACCTGAGCCCCAAGGTTAGGGAAAATTCAACACGGGACAGACTAGGAAGCCCGGGCCTGAGAAAAAAGGCTTGGGGGCGCCTATTTAGCTTCATACAGTTAGGACCCAGGATGCAGTACCACATTAGCAGTTGTTGGAGACCACCGTGAGCCAGCACTGCCAAATTATGGAGAAACTTAATGATACCTGGGCCATCTGGAACGAAGTAGTGATTTGATACAGAGATTTGTGGAGTATTAAAGACACTAAACAGGTGGCAATATGCCCCGTCACATTTAGGGCCCATCTCGACCGTTCACGCGAATATTCTGGAGAATTATGTGAGAAATCTCGAAGTCCTACGTAGTATAGGAACCTTCATCATTTTTGTTATCGCCCCAAATTTTAACTTAATCTAAATAGAATAGAATTCTAGTTCTGTCGCGCGTGTGCCACGTGTAATGTCTTTGAATATATTGCCAATGTTCACTCGTGGCATACAGGCCTAGTCTAACTTTGCTCACCATCAATCACACTCCTACCTGTAAACAAGTTGACAATTGGTGGGAAACCATAGACTCTTTAAGAGAAATTCCATATTATTTCTCGTTACTTCCATTCATGATTGGTAGTCAACGGCCTAGGTTTTAAACTGGCTCATATGACCCTCCCAGTTGATCTTGTCAGCATTCTCACGATATTCGAGGTCACGCTCAGATGACCTGCCCAAGCCAACGTACTTGCCAGACTGTGCGCCACTAGCACGTAAGGTGGTATGAGTTGATCCTTGCGTTTGATACTCGAAAATGAACGCCTTGGCCGCGGATTTTTCAGTTGTAAGACTTCCATTCTTTGAAATGTATGACTCTTCGGAGGCAGATTGGAGGTGGAACGTGTTTCCAAACCGATTTCCGTCAACCGCGTGGAGGACCCAGCGCTGTCTAACATCTTGATGGTCCTTGGTGCTTTAAGAGCAGTGACAGGGCCATTTTCCCTGCAGCCGAGGCCAAGACCATTGCTCTCGATTGTAATATAGAGACCCTCGGTAATGGAGCAACGAACCTGCTTGGAGCCATCTTCGACAAGCTTATCCATGTTTTGCTCGGCATTGGCCTCGCCAGACGGCACTGGTGGGTAGTTGCCTTGCTCGTAACCGTCCCTGCACCTAGCTGGACCAACCCAGGGTCCTGTGAGAGTGCCCAGAGACAGATTGACGCTCCAGTTATTATCGGTACGAGGCTCAGGGTCGCGCACCTCTCCGGGCTGAGGCAGGGAGTAGTCGGGATTATCAAAGTCGAAGGCGTTAACCATGTTGGTCATGTACTGGCGCCGCCAGTCAGATATTCCTTCATCAACCACATTTTAGCCATTATTTGCAGCCCAGGCTTCAAGAAACATGATATCAGAAGTGTCGTCACCAGGCTCGGCAAATACATGGCCTCCGCGCGCCGACGGGGAGACGATGAAGCGAGGAATACGGGGTCCTGGTCAAGCCGGTTCAGTATCGGCGGAAACTGTCATGCGGTAACTCGATATAGTAGACTGGAAAGATCATGTTGCAACTTACCGGGTCCGATGGGAACTTGTCCATTGTTGGCATTGAAGGGGTCCCTGATCCATTCGCCGGGGGCATCTGTGGGAGCAACGGGTGGAATTACATGCTCGGCCCAGTCGCCCTGTTCGTCATAACTTATAATGAGAGGGCTTTCTTTATACGCGGGGCTGTTCAAAACAGCCTCAATAACGTTCTTACGTACCCACCCACCATCAATTCGCATATTAGGGGGTGCTCACTCTATTCCTGCGGTCCTATGACCCAGCTAACCTGAGGAAGGGAGCCGTCGGCATAAGCGTCATAGAAGGCCTGGAGGCCCGGGGAAGAGATGCCGTTATCTCGAAGAGCTTCACCCTCGGAAACGTCCTGATATTGCTTAAAGTAGGCGAGCATATTATCCTCAAAGCTATCGAGGCCCCGCCAGACTTGCCATGAAATGCCGGCATCTTCAGGGCACTCTGGCATGATATTCCAAACAAACGGTAAGCAATTGTGTCCCGGGTGTCACAACCAGGACTAGCACTGTTGGATAAAATATTGCCGCCTTGACCATCTGGATTGGTATTGGAGCCTGGGGTATTAACAGTTCCGCTCATCCACATAACGCGGTTGGGGTCTGCAAGACCGAGGACACTCTGATGGGAATTATCCATAACTGTCCAACCTTCAGCAATATCCCAGTGTATTGGCACATACTCAAGTCTGTAGTAGCCCATGCTGTAGTCTGTGTCATATATAAACCACCCGTCGCCTCGACCGTTATGTAAGCGCCGTGCATAGCTTCCCAGGTATTGGTTACTCTCCCCATGCACTGCGTGGCTTCTTTCCAGTCGCTGGCAAGATAGTTGATGTGTCACGGCGACAAGAAGTTGACTCCGCCCTGGGTTTGTTCTATCTGTCTGTAGTTATTAATATTAGATCAATAGTTGCCGCCGACTAACAGGAAATGAATTCGGACGTTCTTACTCTCTCCAGACTAGGGTACCATCGTTGACTTGTACATCAGGGTCACCAAAGTTGCGGATTCCAGCCATGGTGCCAAAATACTGGGCATTTTCTTAGCAGCAAGCTCGGCAGTATAACAGATGTCAACGGAAATAAGGGGGTATAGTTGCTATTCATTAGACCGCGTTGTTTTTCGTGATAACAGAGTTTCGGTGAGGATATACGTGGTCGAAAGACCTGTTCTCCCGCATAAACAGGATGATATGTTTGATGTCTTCAGAGAACCGGCCTGAATAGTGACGGCCGAAGTCATCAGCGTCAAGAGAGGCGTTGAATGCCACATAATGAAGCGAGACAACCACTCGCAGTTTTCTGATCGTCAAAGAGGCGTGACCGTTATGCTACTCACAGAAATGAGTTGTGAAGGGCCAGCGGGTTACAGCCTTGCAGGTTGACTAAATAGTTCCACTGACATTCCACGTTATTCCCGCGCGCCATTTTTAAAACCGCAAACCGGCCTGAACACCGGCATATTGAGACAAGGAAACAACTCCAAAACAGGGCTTTATAGTTGCCGTCATTACGGGATCGGGGATATTGCCACAGAGTAACTTGCACAATGCAATAGCTAGAGTGCAACGTCCTCAACACTGAACAGTGAATAGGCACGGAGCCTTTACATGTCGTCAGGGACAACGATGAGTTGCCAAGAACTCAGCAAGGCTTACTGCCATGGTGGGCTCTTTATTTCTTCCCCGACAAGGGGACTGACAAAAATGCGGTGATGGCAACTAGGGATTGGGCGCTTTGGGTTTTCCAACAATGGAGTCTTTGAGCACTTACTTTACCAACTCCACGCAGAGGCGTCTGTGTGTAATATGTGTGTTATTAATACAATCTTAGAGGTCATTGTCCAAATTGATTCTCTGTCGTAGAGGGTCTCAATGTTTCCACAAGGCACGTTGTTGCATTCTCCTATGTCAAAGGAGTGGCCGGGCTCCTTTAAAAGGCTCGACGAGACTGTCAATCAGTGATGACCGGAGTGTATTTCAAACGAAATCATAATAATCTATTCAAGTACCAGTTTCTTTCTTTACATAGACCTGCAGCTTGGAATACAGGGTTTGCCCGGAGATCCTTCCGGAAATACCCAACAGGTCTCGGCCGCGTTCATAGCAGCGTGAACTTGTCCGTCCATACAATCCGTTTGAAGGCGACTATAGCGGTCACCGTACGTGAGTTGGCAAGAGCTTACTGAATTATAGGCGCATTAGGGTCCAGTTGAAGTAGATGAAAAGGGAAGAGTGGTGGCAGCATAGTGGTGCAAAACGATCTCGCGGCGCCTTATGTTCAGAAGCCACAGATGAGAACCCATCCCAGCAGTGAGTCCAGAGAGCCTTAGACTTACCTCCTTAGAAACTAAGTCCATAGGTCAAAGGTAGTGTTGCCTCTCTGCCCAGGTTCCAGGTCATGTGAAATACAAGTAAAACGCCCTCGACGAAATATAAGGGGTTATAGTGTAGTTGCTGTTCAATTAGAGCACATTTTTTGTGACGCAAACACCACAATTCTTGATAAACTTCCCTGCCAACTTATGGTAACTCACTAGAAAATGACTACTTGCCATCGCCAATCTGGCTGAACAGAGTGGTCAACGTCACCATTACCTTGGTTGAAGATCAGACTGTGGGAGGTTGGCAAATTGGTACTTATAAGAAGATAGAGATAACCTTTAGTTATGGAAGGATAGTAAACCTACCTTTCGCTACTTCCTATTCTCCAGTTACTCTATAATTCTCCTGTTAGCTTCTAGTTATTATTTATAATCTTCTTATATTTATTATTATTAACTTTAAAATCAAAAACCTAATTTATTTATAAATTTATCTATACTAAAGCTAATAGCTTTAATATAAATACAGTGTAAAGCTTTACAGGCTTTTTAGGCTAATAATGCGCTACCCATACTGCGACAACTGCCAATGTCGCGCCATATTTGGCGTTAACATCTAAAACCCTTTAATAGCCTTAGACTTTCGTCCTGTCCTTCTCTTCCTATTGCGTTCTTCTTGTTCAATAATAGGAATAGCCGCAGGAATGAATTTAACTGATCGGTTTCCACTACGGGGACGAGCATGTAGCTTTCGGTGATTATTCAAGTTGTCCCTGCGGTTGAACTGATCTCTTCCACAGAACTCGCAAGCAAAGCGGTTTGGCCCCTCTCCATGGAAACTAGATACTGGATAATTAGTGAAAGTAGGGAGACACATATTGCCGCAAGTGATATTGTCTACATACGTTTGTTGGTGGCGTTTCAAATGCTCGCGTCTTCGGAACATCTTGTGACAACCAAGATAGCGGCATTTGAACTTGGTCTCATGAGCCAATTTCAATTTGATACTACTATACTTGCTTGCAGAGGCTGCTTTTGAAATGACTCCGTGGCCTTGTGACGGTTCCAAGGGGCTATGCTGAATCTCATTTACTGCCTTGCCCTTAACGGTGAGGCAGCTGGGCGATGGAGGCCCCCAGAGACTCCAGTGATCTGAGCACGGGACAAAGCCCGTTTCGTTTTCCAAAGTGCTGACATCAAACGAACCAAGAGGGTCCCTTTGAAAGATTGACGTACAATTCTCATTTAGGTGAGTCCAGAATGAAAGAGATTCTTCTGAGAAGGTGGAGAAGCCCAAAGGAGTTAGAGCTGATATAGCACTTGAAGAAAAGGAGATCGATGAAGTTGGTGAGCTTCTCTGTAGCTGTCCTCTCAAGCTGCGGTCTAGAGTGTTTGAGGTTACTTTCAACCATTTTGGGCAAAGCAGGATCCGTTTCTGGGAATACAATTTGTTCAGTGATAGCATTAGACGGGGATATTGATGTGTAAATAAACGGCGAGGCTAAGGCTGAGCCACCCGCCAGGCTATCCAAGGATGTCAACGGGCCGCCAAGTTCATTGCCGAACTCCTCAGGTGTAGACCTCCAATTCGAGTAGGTGAGAGTTTTATAAATCATTGGCAAGTACGGAGTCTTCAACTCGGTTCCCATGACGGGAAGTGAGTTTATTTTGAGTTGCATAGTAAGGAGATTGGAAAGAGCCGATGACTTTATACCGTACTACAGCAAATAAAGAATTCAGACTGTAGAAAGAAAATTGCAGAGAGGTGCATTAAATAGAAAGTGATGTTGACAGAAACTATTGCACGCTAAATAAACCCAGGCATAGAAAAAGACAAATCGAAAATAAACCGCATAAAGGGGAAGTTCCCCCTGGCAAGATCACTGCCGTCTGTCTCTAGCCCATCCAATCCAGATTCAAAAGCAGACTCATAGCGGAGATAAGGGCACAATACCATGGAGCCCTCTACGCAGGGAACAACTAAATAGGGGGATTATCCGCTCCTGCAGAAATCTAATTTCTCCTTCGCCAGTCAGATTTGCCATCTCACAACTACCCCAACAAGAGGCGCTGACCTTGGCAATTGATAGGTCACAATGTAAATAGCTCAACCAAACGAAGGCTGGTTATATGTACTCAGATAGATGATAGACCAGGGTTGCGTTAGTTCTCGCCTGATATGTGCAGTTTCAAGCCAGGGCTAAAAGGATCGACTCCAGTTTCAAAGCTCCGTGCGTTTAATTCTCTGACGAAACTCTACCCAGTGCGAATCTGGATTCGCGATACAATCTTGGTGGGTAGATTCAGACATACACATGACATGTGTCGTGGCTCGAAGCCGCCATTTACTGCCTCGGGATGACCAGAAACTAAACTTGAGATTATAAGGAGACTATATACACGATATACACAGAGAGTATGAGGCAATGTGGCTACTTATGCGCGGAGAGAAGGGAGGGTGACATTGCAGTGGAACCTGTGAACCCATGTATTACCATCACGTGAATTCAGTAATATTTCTCAACGAACTCCAGAGCAAAAGATAAGACACGGTGCTCAAGTGGAAGAGGACAAGGAGGGGGAAAACTGCGGCCCAAACATCGATCTGGGTATCCAGTGGCTTATGACATAACCTGCTTATATAAATGCTTGGGAGCCAAAAGATACCTGGTCCTGCTTCATATTCAAGTAGCTAGATGGAAAAAGGGACTCGTAGTCACAGTGTTTTGGAAGCCAGGATTCCACAAGGGGGCCGTTGAACTTGAATGCAATGGACACCTATCGTAAACGTAGATAGACGAAGCTTCTATGATGGCAAATATACCTACAACTGGTCGTGCGTCTCCATTCTTACTACCAGTATAAGAGCTTTGAACTGCATATCTTCCTTCACAGCAACCTTGAGCTACTATCACCCGTTACACGAGGGCTACGATCACGGGACCTAGGGCAAAGACCCTCGCCAACTACTTGTATTTATAGAGACCTTTGGTCCCTCGAGGACTCGGAAAACCAAGGACCTTTGATACCAAAGACTGTTATTAGATGAATTGAGCTATTTCTCTAAGCCCTCCTTGATGCCTTGTCACAACCACTCTCCAGAACAGTATTGTACAGTTGTCATCTACGACGGATACACGCCGTACAAAATTTCGTCTGCCATTTTAGGTTATTCCGAAACAGGCGAGTGACCAATCATCTTACACCATTCCACAACCGGGAAGACAAGTAGATCGGATATTATTTCGCCAAGTAGGAGCTTATGGGGCAAGCGCCGGCATCGGCATCGGTTGAGGTACGCATCGTCATCTGCGATAACCTCATTGAACTGTTTACCAAACAATCCTCTAACAGGCTATGGTGGGTTTGTCCGGATCTGCTGGTACCTCGGCAGTTTCAGGCGCGACCACGACTCCTCATCCACTTTGAGACGAACTCCAGGTGAATGCTCCTGGAACTTATCAGCCCTGTTGTGACAAGGGCTCGTTAGAGGGCTTGAAGCAAAAGGGCTCTATTCAATGATAATCTTGTAGGATGTTAAAGGTCCTTGGTTCCTCCAAGACAGAAGGCGAGGGGAGATCATCTTATATACATAAAGAGAACGGCCCGTGCCTAGTGTGCTTCGTAGTTCTCGTGACCTCCTTGTGTAATAAAGGGCTTCTAATCCTTGCTTGACCTAATCCGTGTGACACCTGTAGAGTAGTTGCACGTAGTTGCAGGAATTCACGGAACCAATAGGAGTTTTTCAATCGTTAACGAATGGCAGCCGGCCGAAAATAGACGTCCAAACCCCCACCCCTTAACGCACAACTCGTCTGGGGTTTAATAAGAAACACAAACCATTTCTCGTGATCTGCGACCAGCGATCCCAAATAGGTAGTGTCACACGGATTAGGTTAAGCAAGGATTAAAAGCCCTTTATTACATAAATAGATTACGAGAACTATAAGGTATACTAGGTATAAGCTGTTTCTTTTATATATATAAGATAGTTTTCTCTTATCTTTTAGCTTAAAGAAACTAAGAACCTTTAATATTCTATAAGATTATTATTAAATTAAGCTCTTTTACTTTAAGCTCTTTATTAAGCTCTTATTATAAATAATTTTATACCCTTAAAAATAAGCCTTTTATTTATAATTACTTAACTTACTTTATAATATCTCTTAACCTTTTACTATTAATTTCTCTCTTATAAGTAAGGCCTTAAAGAAAGCCTTATAAAAATTATTATTAAAAGAATTATTATTATTCTTATTCTTAAAATACTTTAATATTATAAAGGAAATACCTTACTTTAAAACCTTAAGCTAAGCTTTACCTTAAAGTTATAATATTTATTAATTTAAGTTAAATAATTATTTATAACCCTTTTAGCTTTAAGGTAATTATAAGAGAAGCCTTTAACTTAACCTAAAATATTAAACTAATTAATTAATCTATAATAATATATAATAATATTATTAGCTTAAACGTTTAATTAACTTAAGCTTATAAAGCTTTACGCTTATAAGCCTAATACGTTAAAGCTTTTAACTATTATAATCTCTTAATTATTTAACGCTATTACTAAGAGGTTTACGGTAGATATTAAGAGGTTATTACCCTTATAAGGTAAGGTATTATAGCGGGAAGAGATAAATTTACTTAGTTTTAATATGCTATAAGGAATACTACTAATTTACTAGTAATATATACGGTTAAATTACTAAGTATATATAAAATAATACTAATAAAAAAACTATAATTATTAGAATATAAGAAGTATAAGCCTAAAATTTAACGAAAGTTTAAGTACTTTATTAAGAACTAGTAAAAACTTAGTATAATATTAAAGATTAAATTATAAATAAAGATTAAGTTATTATTAATCTCTTAGCCTAATAATATATTAGCTCTTAAAACCTTAACGTTTATACTTAAGTATAACTTTAAGATATTTATATTTTAGCTAAATTTATTATTAAGAATACTCTTAAAAAGTTTAAGATAGGTTAATCTATTAATATTAAAAGAATATTAGGTAAGATTAAGTGAAAAGTAGCTTTAAACCACTTAATTTAATCTCTTATTATTATTATTTTATAAAGTATTAAAAGAAGTACCCTTACCTTACCTTATTATAATAAGAATATACTTTATATAGTATATATAAGAAATTCGCGGGATAATTAACGTTACTCTTATTTCTTAAGACCTTTAATTTATAAAGCCCCTTTAAGCTCTAGCTATTTAGGTAACTTATTTAATAGTAAAGATAATTATTAGAATAAAAGGCCTAATAAACCCTCTTTAAATTCTTTAAGGCCTTTAAACTTAAGCTTAAAACCCTTTAATTAACCTAAATAAGTGAACTCTTTAGCCTATCTTATTAATTAAACCTATATTATAAAGGGAAATAACTTATTAAAGATCTCTAAGCTAGCTTTCTTTAATAGAAGATCCCTTATAAAGTTTCGCTTTTAATAGACTAATATTATTATATATATTAACTCTTATACGTGTAACTTACCCTTTAATTAACTTAAAATTAATTAAGTAGAATTACTATTAACTAATAAAGTAAAGATCTAGTATTAATAAAAAGCCTAGTAATTATAAAGTCTTTAAGTAATAGACTATTAAAACGCGTATATTACTATTATTTAAAAGAGATTTAAAGATATCTTAAAAGTATTTAATAACTTTAAGAAGCTTTTAAAGATTAAATACTTTAAGAATATCTTATAGTTTCTTATAAATATAATAGACTTAAATGAAATAGTTTATTAAACTAGCTTTACTCTTTAAACGTATATTATTAAGGTATTACTAGAAAAAATAATTAAGCTAGTTTACTTAAAAAGAGGTAATATATTACTCTTAAATAAAAAATACTTTAGCGCTATTATTAAAGTAAGCTAAGTCTATAAAAATATATTAATAGACTTTAACTTAATTAAATTTACGGGAAAAGACGCGCTTAATTTAACTTAAAAGCCCTTAAAATTAAGCTAATTTAAAACTAATAGCTTATAAAAACCTTTAAGCTTATTAAAGGAATTCTTAAAGAATTAAACTAAGAATAATAAGCCTAATAAAGAAAAGAGATAAAAGTCCCTTTAAAAAGCCCTTAAAGAAATTAATAAGACTCTTATTAAGAAAAGAAAGAAAGCTAGTAACTACTATTAGCGTTATAAATAAGATAATTACTCTTTTACCTAATATTATACTAGTAAAGATAAAGAAGGTAATACCTTACTATTAGCCTCTTTTAAAATTACTAGTATTATAAAATCTAATAATAATAAACGAAAATCTAGTAAAGAGAAATTAAAGCTACTACTAGTAAAATAGCCTAAGATTAATATAATCTTAGAAGATTTAGTAAAATATAATTACGTGTTACCCTTTAACTTTAATTTCTTAAAAA